GGAAATGTTTCAGTTCCTCTATACTAGAACTGGCCCTGTGCCGTAACACAGCTGTTCTCTTGTATATATCAATCGTAACTGACTTTTGATGAACAGAGCTTTTGTTCATCAGTTATTTTGCATCTTTCAAATGGATTCTGGGGGCAGTATTTTTAAGTGAGCAGCATTGCTCTAGTTTCCATGAGAAATGGAAAATGGAAGTTCCTTTGACTTAGAGCGTCGGAAAAATGGCAAAACTGTCAACAGTGTCAGGCCACAAGGTGACTGCCCTTCTCACTGCACTTTTATGATCCTGGTTACACAGGGCTTGAGCTTGTCTTTGGAGGTCACATACTCATGCCTATGGGCAATCAAGAGTCTCCAATTAACCTGACACAGGTGTCTTTGGACTGAGAGAAAACCCTCGTGATCAACGGGAGAACAATCAAACTCCACTCAGAAAGGCCCCAGGCCAGATTCAGACCGACGACCTTCTGGCTGTAAGGCAACAGTGCTGCCCCCAGAGACACTCTTTTTCTCTCTTACGTCATTACAGTACAATACAATAACAATCACAATCTGCCTTTATCAAGCACACATGACTCTATTTGAGTCAGCATTAAAAAAAAAAAAAAAAAAAACTACAAAGTTGAATGAAAGATGAGTTGGCAATAAATGAAGGCCCACATGATTTTTCATGGGTGGGGAGAAAGGATGCATTACTTAAGTAATGGATTATTTACATTACCAAAAATGATGTGGATTGTTGTATAAGCAATCATATTGATGTCAATTTGACAGGCAGACCATTTAAGTATTGTTTTCACAGATGTCGAGCACACTTCCTGGACATTGTTGACATTTTTAATCGTATTGTTGACATTTAACAAGCAGAGGCGAAACAGATGTTGTACTTTTGCACGTGTAGTTTTGCACAAAAAAAAACTCAATAGAGGAGAGGGTATGAACTGTGATAGCAGTTACTGAGGATAGCCCTGAGAAGGGCATAAATAGCTGCTGTTATTGATACTATGAGTGTATTCTCTGTTCCCTTCCTGAATACACAACGTGTTTCAACAGCCCAAACCACTACACTGAGGGACCTGTATGCCGATAAAGCACAAACTCACCATCCCTAGAGAATCACTCAACTTCCCACAGAACGTCCATGTTTAAAATATCTCAACCACAGCCTCCTGTGACTCTGACGGGATTATTACGCACTATGAGGGCCGCTAGAATTACCCAACATGATTAAATGCGGTGAGGAATGTCACTCCAATTACAACTAGTTCAAGTAGTTTAGGGAAAAGAAAAAGTTCTGTAACGAAAATGTAAGTCGGCAGTTGGGTCTCGTAATTGCTGTGTCAACTTTAACCACAAACACAGTAGTACAGAGCTGAATATTCAAACCAGATTACCACAATATCAGTGGTGGTGTATTTCTTTCAACCCCAAACCTTAAAATTTTTTAAAGGCACATCAAGATTCACCTATCTTCACCAAAATATGTGGCTTTGCATTGTCCCGATGGGCACTGTTACACAACACTGCTCTGTCACAGAGATATCGGTCTACAGTAATTCCAGTTTTGGTCCATCTGGAATGGCACCACTGACATCAAAATGGAGCAGACATCATCTAAACTGCGGGACCAATCGACTCAACCACGGCCCTCTTCGGAAAATGGAGGGCTCATCAGCCAAACAGGAGCACGGTGTGCTGGACACAGATCTTATTCGGACAAATGAAGAGCTAATCTTTAGATCTTTGACTGTGTGTACTTACTTTTGAGCATGATTACACCCTACAAAGCCACACATCAGCAATCTATACAGGGAGTTGCTGTGCCATCCTTACTTACCAGCATGATAAACCGAAAAATGACAATGGATTCATCATCGAAAAACAAATGCCGCGGCCACAGTTTCTGAGCAGGGTTGTGTCTCGCTTCTAGGTTCTTACATGTTTATTTGAGGCTACTAAGGTATTGTCATTCAAATGTCTATGCAGCAGCCGTCAACAAAGCCGGGCATTTCACATTTCAATTTCTTTTTACACGTTTGCCTCACTCCAATTACCGGGCTGTTCTTATCGCCCCATTCTCAGCCCTGACCTCCCCGTTCGCCATCAGTACGTAATGGCTGCAAAGACATTGTAAATCCCCCTTAATAACCTGCAAAAGGATATTTAAATGACTTAGACCTGTGCTGGTCTAGATTTAAAGACTCTCTCTCTCTCTCTCTCTCACTCTGTTTATCTCTAACTGCTTCTCGCTTTGCTGTGTTCCTCTCAAACGGCCCATATCTCGCGTTCCCCTCACTCGTTTTCGCTATCTCTCCTTTCCTCCATCTAGCTGCCCCACATTGTGAGCGGCGTCTGGTAATTGCACCGTACACTGACATATGGAAGCAGGAGTACAGGGCTGCGACTTTATCAGTGAGAGGAGTGTGCTTCGGACGTATTAAAACGCTCTGTGACAAATCAGCTCCGCGCTGGGTTACATGTAGTTCCATCTGGACTTGCATGAGCTCCGGTAGAGCTGAATTAACACTGACCGTTAACACTGAAAAACACAAGTTTCAATGTTTCTTAGGTGGTTACACATGGTTGAACATGGTCCTCAGGAAGAAGCAGCTTCTTATCAAGAAAAACTGCCACAAATATTAATTAATTTCAAATAATTAACCCTTAGAGCACTGAAATAAATTTTTTTAAAATATAAATTTAATTATCTTGGGCTGTTGAAATTTATCATGTGGCAACTTGTTTAAAAGAGGTCCCCTGTGGGAGCTCTTTTAAACAAGTCACCACACGATGAGTTTTCAACGGCTTTGATTTTGATATTTTACATAATTGAGCAACAATAGCAGCATTTAGCGCTCTAAGCGTTAATTAGGTAATTCATTGATATTGTAAAAAAAAATCAGTTTAAAGGCGGGTATGAAAATGTTGGTCCCTTCGTATTCACTCATTAGCACTAGATGCTAAAGTGTTTCATGCAGAAAGGTGGGGTGGGTGGCTAATGAGCAGGTGCTAACATTTGAAATTAACATAACATAACATAACATGAATGGCGAGAACAGGCCGTTCAGCCCAACTAGGCTCGCCAGTTTCTTTGTACTATCGTGAATATATCACTTCAGATACTCAATGACTCAATGGTATCTAACTTTAAGTCAAGCCTGCCCTTGAAAACTCCCAAGGTCTCTGCCTCAACAATATGGTCAGGCAAGCTGATCAACATAGTCAAGAAACGTTTGGCGGTCAAATAATTTTACATGCGTTTCTCTGTCAGTAGGTGCCTGCTTCTGTGTTCCTGGAAGGGACGGTGAAATGTTTTTAGCCGACAGTGACACGAAAACAGAACTTGAGCAGCTCTCTGTCCAGGAATCTCTCTGCCAATTGGGCGACATACGTCTTACATAAGCAACATGAGCATCCAAGGGGATATTATTCAAACGCTCGGGAGAACAGTACAGCGAAAGAGAGGAACTGATCATTCCCAGCGTCATAAAACCCAACAGAGCACCGATTTTCCTTTCTTCACACGAGCGTATGCTGAGCATTAATCTTCCACAAGAAAATAAATAACCCCACTGACAAATCGGCAATAATAAAATCATGTGATTTATTTGTAGTAATGTGATTAAAGGATCCCCGTAGTCGGTCAGGAACAGGGAGGGGGGGGGGGGTGAATGAAATATGTCCATATTGAGGCCACATGTGGAAAAAACACACAAACTTTGCCCCCGCAGGAGCCAGAAAACACCATGAAAAGGCTACTTTAATATCCTGTTTCTCTGGAAGTCGCTGAAGTAGATAAAACTATCATCTGACACCCACAACCTTCCAGGAGACCAGCATGAAGATGGGACTTGAATAACCTTGGGAGACAGTCGCCATTCATTCCTTATCAATCACTGTCCCGCATTAATATTTAAATGTGGAGACTGAGAGCCTCTCCTTGGTGATGCATTGCATTGTGTGTGTGTATGTGTGCGTGTGTGTGTGCACGCGCGTGCCTGTGCATGTATATGTGTGTCCGTACTTGTGCGTGTATGTGTGTTTGTATGTGTGTGTGTGTGTGTGTGTGCGCATCCGTGTGCATGTATGCATGTGTGTGTGTGCGTGTGTGTGTGTGTGAGCGTGCACGTGAGTGTGTCTTTTTTGTGTATGGCTGTGAGTTTGTGGGAATGTTTGTGGATGTGTGTATGCTTGTATTGGTGTGTGTATGTAAGTGTATGTGTTTGCATCTGTGAGTGTGGTCATTTGTGAGTGTGTACATATATATGTGCTTTTGTATGTGTGTGTGTGTGTCTGCATGTGAGCGTGCGTACTAAGTGTGTGTGTGTGAGAGAGAGCTTGTTTATGTGAGTATGTGTGTCTGTGCACCTCTTAAACACGCGGTGAAACTTTTTTATACACTGTTAGCCACTATAAAGGAAAACAATGTAATTATCAGTTTGCTTTCTTCTATTCTTCATGAAATATGTGCCTCAAAAAATAACACATGGCAGGACCAGAGAAAAATGAATTTGCATTGTACACTGTTTCATATTGTCTGCCACAAAATGGCAGTGCTTAAACAGTTACAGTCCATTTAAATGCATGTTATTGCCCAGAGGTTCACTGAAACCTAATAAACATATGTTTATAGAAGACAGAAATTTTCAAATTCTAGGTCTGCCTTTTTAAATGAATTTGGAATCAATTGGTCAGTATGGCCTGATAGGACAGACATTCAGCTTTTATTTGAGGGTAGGCAAAAAAAAAAAAAAAACAATATAAAGCCTGCCCTGAGCCAAGTGGCTCAGCAGGCCAGTGCTTAACCCCAGTTGCTATAGCATGAAGCGACTTGGGGTATCGCTACTCCTCCTGGATGGGAGGCTAGTCCATCACAGGTTACCCCCCAGCTCTTAGTCCGGTTTCCACAACCATTTGCTGGTACCCAATTATACACCTGGGTGGATTGGGGCACTGTGGGAGTGAAGCGTTTTTGCCCAGGAACACACCGCAAAAGCCATGGCAAGGACTTGAACTCAGGACCTTTTAATGCTAAGTCAAGTGCACTTTACCACTGCACCACCATGTCCACTTCATTTGAGAATACTGCAATTCAAATCTGTTATATCCTAAGTACTTTGTAGCACTATCTATACCCCTACTACCTCTACCCCCACCCCTGCTGAAGGCTCCTGTGAGGCTTGGTCCTCGCTGCCCTCCTCCTTCCACACTCATTACCTTAATTGCGTCACCTGCAGCTCATTACCGCTGAGCTGCAGGTAAGAGTACTTAAGCTCTGCATCTGCCTTCCTGCTGCTGGTCAGTGGGAATTTTAAAAGTCACCTCTCCTTTTGATTTCTTTTCATTTGGAACATTGTTTCCCTTTTGTTTTGTTTCACTCCTTTGTTAATTAAACTACTACTCAACACTTCCAGCCTGGCACACGAGTCTCATTCCTTAAATCCACGGTCCTAGAGCCCCCCGGGTAGTCACTTCTTATCCGGCGGGGCATCAACCGTTACAGCTCCATTGAAACCAACTGGAGATCTGAAATGGGGGAGCACATGCAGAAGGGGCAACAATTTCCAAATCCTGGAGCAGAATCGTATAAAAATGCCCTCAAATGAAATTCTGTCCTATCAGCCCATCAGCAATTAAGTTCAAATTCAATCAAAATGTCAGATATTTAGAATTTAAAAGTGTCCATCTTCTTTGCATGTCGTTGAGGTCTCAGTGAAGTGTCCATATACTATTATAATGTTGCTTCCTACAGACCCATGGGCTTGTACTACACAGTAGGCCCTACTCAGCCTGCGCTGATACAAATATCAATGCCATCTCTCCGCGCTGCCTGCATTTTTATTTAAATCTTCAATCGCCAGTGTCAAAATAACAGCTAATTTTCCCCAGAAATGCCTTTTTGCCATTATGATAATGCGTGACATTTCACTGGGAATTGGTCTGCGCGGTGTGCGGGACTCTTCAGGGGCGATACGGCGGCGGCGTGTTCTGTAATGGATTGATTCTGGCGTCTCTCTTTGAGGGTCCGGGCCCATCCCGTCCTCCTCTCGCAGAAGAACAGCAATTGCCTGCGGGCTTTAATCATGTGTTGAGTCGGCAAAAAAAAAAAAAATGTTCCCAGGCGATAGAGCATCGATCGAACGAAGTCTCCACTCTTTACTTTTTTCCCCTCTCCCTCCCTCTCTCCTCTCTCCCTCCCTCTTTCTACCCTTTCTTTTTTCAGGCAAAGAATCCCCAGCAAGATTACCTCTCGCTGTGATGTCGCAGGGAAATTATTACATCTCCAAATAAGGAAATAGGATGGTGAGAGAGAGAGGGAGAGAGAGAGAGAGTCTTGAAATGAACATGCATTTTTGCACATCAAAGGTGTTCAGCTGTTATTTTGACATGATTTCAGCAGTCCTCGCATTGCGTCGTAGGGCGACGACATTAGCCACGACAACCGTTGGGAATGCGATGGGACGCAGGAGGAGAGGGCAGTCAATTGCCGCTGGTTTCGGAAAAAATCTGATCCTCCGCTGACCAAAAAAGACCTGCGAAAAGGAAAAAGATAGGGGAGAAACAAACAAAAAACAAACAAAATGGCAGCTGCACACCGACTGAGCCACGAATCTTCAATTCCATCTGGACTCCTTCTCTCCTCCCTCTTCCTGGATTTAAAAAAAAAAAAAACTGCGGATTGCCTTGCAATTACCCTTCAGACAGGAATTCATTCCATCCTATCTGATGTGGTGCGAGAGCTGAGTTCATTAGCGTGTACACGTTGCAATTACTATCAATTAACAGGAGAGCGGGCCCAGGAGTGCAGTTCCTTATCGTAAACGGCGCACACAATAAAGGTGAATGAACTGCAAAAAAAGCCCCTGGTACTCCAACCCCCCTCCTGAGTCGCGTTGGTTGAAGATGTCAGCCATTTTGAGCCTTTGTTGAGCTGTTGACCTAATGGAATGGCCTCAAAGAAAAAAAACCTGTCTTCTAAATGGAAGCCGATTGACAAGCTGTGACATCACAGAGAGCCACTTACAGCCTTAATGTCCGAGCGGATTACCGGCCAAGCAGCCTCCATCTTGAAATTGCAGTGTGGATTGATGCAGCTGAGCAGAATCTCATATCCACCTTAACCGGTGGGACCGTATCATAGGGCCTCATTAAAATACCATTTCCTGCTTGCCCAAAATTGAGTTTTCACATTTAATATTCAGCAGGTCTGATATTGATACCTCCAGCTTGTCGTTTCCTGACATTACCCATCATATAGGGATAGAATATTAGATTGTGTCTCATCTTGTGGAGCCTTCATAACTTCAAGGAGACGAAAAGCCATAAATCTCAATTGACGGTCACAGAGGCTTGCGCGCCTGTTCTCGACTGCAAGTGCGCACACGTGCGTCTTCGTGTGGTCGCACTACTGTAAAGATCGACTCAAACCTTAAGATAACTTTTGCTGCTACTGACAAGTTATCCAGTAAAATTTATTGAGATTGCTATTTTGTGAGTTCTCCAGGATTCCATTATAATATATTGTTATGCATAGATTTTATTTTTAAGCCGTATATTGCAAGCGGAATGATATAATGTGATATGAAAAAACTGCAGAAACAAGATCCACAGCTGTTGCTATGCACATAAATAAGCATTCATAAGATACCTTTGTCCAATCAAACTACTCGACCGGAATTATCAGTTGTATGAACAAACATTCATTAAGAAGTCCTCACTGTCACATGACTGACACCATTTATATTCAATGGCCTCAATTTCCACATTGCCGGTGTAGCTGGAGAGGAGTTAGAAATTTAATGATCTGTTAAAGACTACCTAGCTGCCTACACACAATTCATTGATTACAGTGAAATACAAGATGTCTTTATTCGCTTGAAAGTGTAGCATCAAGTAGCAAGTAACATCAAATAATAAAGCTCTGTTGGCTAATTAGCATAAAAAATCATTTAACGTCTTGTGCATTAGCATTTCCATTTTCAGAACCAGTTAGGTCAGCCTTTTTAAACACATGGTCCATGTGTCCATTTACTGAAAAATAAGAAATGTATAAGACTTGCTTGTGCCAATAAAACATGTAAGTAATATCAGAGAGTTGTATTGATTTATATACAATCTGAATACACAAGTATGCACAAACGCTTTGAGACACAAACATACACTTAGGGCCACACACATTTCATAAGACAAAGAGTGATGATGCACAGACTGCATTCCCTCAGTACAAATATGACTTTGTTCTAACACCACAATAAATAAGTCTTGATTCTAATACTTTCAGACACTCAAAGAGCCCGCTGGAATTTTCTGGAATGCAGAGTACTGCTCTCTGCGACACAGCACAGTGCCCGACTGCGATCTGTCATTTTTATAAGACTTTCATTTTGCAGTAAAAGTCACTTCCAGTTCTTTTCCAGCATCCAAGTGCCTAAAACCTCCTCGTTTTTTTTTGAAAAGCTTCTTTTCTCGTGATCTTTGAGGGAAATTGGTACGAACAGTGCATTGTTTATCACTGTTTACTGAACAAGGTGTAGAGAGAAAGAGATGTGGGGGCAGCAGAGGGAATAAATAGCTGTAGCTCTGCTCAAGGCACCTGCACGGTCGGATTTACGCATGCAGTCACAACTCACTTCAATCGTCTGTCTGATCGAATACTCCTCGTTATAATCTACACTGCAAATGTTTTGGTAAGACTGAACTGCAGGGCTGACATAACAGTCATATGCATAACATAACATCTATCACAATGTGGCATAACATATGAAGTCATTTTAAGTGAAATGGCATCATAACATTGACCAATAAAAGAATAAATGTATGGCAGACGTTACTGTGGTACCATTAAGTAAAAAATGTGATGAGTTTGTACGTTTGAGTTAATGCTTCATCATTTGTCATGCCATTGTGTGACAGCCTCTATGCTGTGTGTACGATTGTATCATGCAAGCCTGATGTTGAAGTGCTCTGGTTAAGTTTTACCAATACATCTAAACAGCGTATTAACATAAGGGAATATTGAATATATTCAGTGAAAAAAATAATAATTGCTTTATATGATACAATCTAGCATATATAGACACGTATTTCATTAAACATCTACGACCAGTTTCATCTGATTGAAAATGTTGGTTCTACTGCAGAATAGCAATAAAATTCTGCTGTTATGATAAAACTTAAGATGGAACTCAAGATTCATATGAGGGATAAGGCTAGCAGGCTTTGTCTGGTGACTTTGGCACACGGGTACTTGTGTTACTGGAGAAATATTCACTGATTCCTGCTAATATTTTCAATGAAATTAAATCCCTGTGGCTCATTTTCTTTATTACATACACACCCCCACACACACAAATACACATACTCACACCCACAGCTCACACACATTTCTCTGTCACCTGTCTCTTCACTCAGTTCAGTTCAATTCAATATTCTGTTTTGGCATGATAAATCTGTATTCTTGTTTTGCCAAAGCTTGCTCTCTCTCTCTCTCTCTCTCTCTCTCTCTCAATCACACACACACACACACACACACACACGCTCACTCCTCCTTTTTCTCTCGGGTGAAGGGCCAATGGGCTGGCTTATCTCCCCGCAATGCGTCCAGACTCCATTAGAATCACAACATCATTTAGCTTTGCTCACCAGTGGCCGTGGCCATATAGACACAGCTAAATTACACGTTAGTGATTAGACAGCTAATTTACAGAACCCAGAGCGATCACTCCTCAAAATGAGAAAGAAAAAAAAAACAGACGTGTTAGAAAAATGACAATATGCACGCACGGGGATAGACGTGGAGCTGAGTGAGAATTTAATTACAGTGCTTTATCTCGCATGCTGGAAATACGGAGCTAATAAACTAAAGTGTCAATCCTAATCTCATTTTAGGGGGAGTTAGCATCAATCTACGCAATGACTCCAGTTCAATGAATGTTTTTCTAGTTGATTTATCCTTGCTAGGTAGCCCAGAGGACAACTCCACAAAATAAAAAAGTGTCACACATGCAGGCATTATTGCTGTGGTGCGCGAAAAATATGAAGGGTGGCTTTTTTACCGAGCCAAAATAT